TATACACTTGGTAGAAGGAAAGATAAAAGAGATCCTAACTGTAATACCTAACTGTACTATTGACGTGTTCCAATTCTTTACTCACGACAAGAACAGTAAAGGACAGATTTTTAGGACTCTATAATCAAGATAAAGATAAGAAATAACCTTATCCAGGTAAAGGTAAAGATAATTAACTTCAGGTAAAGTTACGAGATAAACTCAATTAAGGTAAAGATACAGATACGCTCAAGGTAAAGGTACGAAATAAACTCCATTACAGGTATGAGATGAACTCAATTAAAGGTAAAGATAAACTCAATTAAGATACAGATAAAGATAACTCACATCTACCAATCCATATCACTAGTAGAGAGACAGGTAAACAAAACAGTATACAATAATATATGTTAAAACTCAAAATACGTTGAGAAGGTAATAACATAGGAGATAACAAACTAAGTTAAACAGACTTACTGCTGAATATCAGAACGATCCAATTCTAAATGACACATTCTAATTTCAACCTAAGAGACACTCAAGGAACAACTAATATGTATTGATATATTTCTGAGCCAAGTGAGGGCACACATCCAGGGTGATCAATCCTGAACCCACGCTAAAACACCGACACAGTAAGTGAATATGAATGCATAAGCTTTATGGCCATAGTCTACGTACGAGCCTATGCAAACATCAATAAAAGAAATGTTAAAGTGTTTCCTAATTATCTCTGTAAACATCTATTTAACTCAGAACTCAAGATGGGGAAATTCCCATATATCCATCCTGTACTCCTATGATATGAAGTTGGACTTTTGAGAGAAAACAAACAACAAAATTAGCAAGTCCATAAACCAAGATAATAACCAACATTAAGATAAGATAAAAAAAAAAGAAGGCAAAATAGCACAACATCTTATGGTTTTTGTCAGGTAAACAAAATAGATAAAACAGATCTTAAACAACCAAACTGGTATAGAAGTGATACGGAACCAATGAGATCTAATGATTAAGTTGAAATGGAAAATCAATCGTCGATAACTACCCATTAAACCTGGTTGGGGAAGATTTGTCGGTTGCATGTAGCACAGATTTGCATTAAGCGATATAGCTACGTACAGTGTGACGCATCTTCAGCCAGTAATAAAGTTCAGATATTCGACGGAAAAGTTTTGTGGAAACCAAAATGAGCTGCAGTAGGATGGTCATGAAAAGTGGCCAAAACCTTCTGCTCTATTAGGAGTTGGAACGACTATCTTCCAATCCGACATTCCAGTAAGGGTATCCATGGAACTTAAAACATGTTTATACAAAACACCATGTTCAACTTTAAAATCAGGAAATTTACTTGGTACATTCTGTACATCATAAAACATTTTTTTAACAAGGGACTGGTTAGATGACAGACTCTCAACTCATACTCTAATTCAGGAGCTAACAGATGCTCTACCTTGAACGCAGACATATTACAAAACTGAGAAATATACGAGAGAATGAGTAAAAGTAGGTAAAGTTTAACTTACTCTCTGTCCTCAATTTAATATTCTGAAGGGATACCTATACCAGTAATGTTAATTGTTTTGGTCCAGTTATGAAATCCACTGAATATACTGCTACAACACCCTAAGGAACCTAAAATTTCAAAACTGTCATTTCAAGGTAGTGACTCAACTTATTGGCTACTCCGGACTTGTAAAAATATGTGAAATAGTTAACTTTAGTTATTTAAAATTTTTAATTAATTTATTATTAATTTAAATTGTTATTTAATCAATCAAAAACAAAGCAATTTATTCAGTCTACACAGTATATAGCAAAAACAAGTCAATTTAAGATATAGATATAGATATAAGGTAATGTCCAAAAAAAATTGAAAAACAAAACTAAAGTTAAAATGAAAATCTAAAAGCACAACCAGTGAAAACCACAACAACCCAAGATCAAAACCAAAAGTTAAAGGAGATATATATACATATATACACATATATATATATATATACATATATATACACACATATATACATATATATTTTTTTTAAGGCAGAAGTGGAAAAGAAGCCACACGTTGGGTCTAGCCAATTGAAACGAATAAAAAAGTGTGAATTGACAAAGTTCAGAAGAACTGAAAGAGAAGGAAGGAAAATATTAAAATCGGGCTAAGCTCAGAGGAACAAATTTAAATGGCCAAAGAGACACTAAATCTCAAGTGAGTGTTCGGGCTAGCTTCAATGCACTGGATTGTGGCTTTAAAGATAAAAAACAACAATAACAAGAGATAATGAGCTAATGAGACAAGAAAGAAATGAGACCTGGTAATATCAAACTGTGATACAACTGAAGAAAGTCACTGGAAATAAATTTATAGAAAGAGAACAATAAGAAGAGAAAAGAAGGGCGCCAACTCAACGATAGTTGAGATTTTGAAGTAACAAATGAATCTGGAGATAATACTCTGAAATACAAAAAATACTAAATAATAATCTTGTTTTGCTATGTTATATACTGGTTAGTAGAACTGAAATAAAACTCAAAATAGCAACAATAAATATATTTATAAACAAATGTATATAGGTATATGTGTATAAACAATTTTACATATAATGCAAAGCCAAATAACAGTGGTTGTGGGTATAAAGATAAAATGGGACCTAATAGCCCCTCCACAAGCAAATAGTCACTACCACTGGCCAAATAAAATGTAAACATTAGTATTAACAAGAATAGTCCGTTAGGGTAGCCAAAGTCTTAATACAAAAGGTAGTCATTTAAATTTAACTCATTCTACTACAATGAGATCCAAATTACATTATTATAAAGGTATCAAAAAGTGATCAATCTATTACAGATATATTAAAGATATTACATACAAAAAATTGAGTTTTCAATACTCCTTATAATTTATTTTAAATAAACACATGAATATTTATATCCCTTCCCAAAATTTAATATTATGACATCAAAATTTATTATTATTATTATTATTAAAAGCATTGTATTACAAAAATATATCAAAAAAAAGTGAGTTTGGTCAATTACTCTTGAAATCCCAGTTTAAACAAAAAAAAAACCTAATAACACATGAAAGGTATTTTCCCTCATCCCCAATATTTTAGAATTAGATTATGTCAAAAAAAATGTATTTTATCAAAATTGTAATCTCCTAGTCATATTTAAAAAGTGTACACGATTTAAATAGAAAGTAACACAAAAAACCAAATAGTTAAAACAACTTATCTTGGCAACAATAAGTCCCTAGGAAAACTCCTCTGGGCAAAACAAAACTAATTCATGGTTGTAAGATAAGTCCTGGGCACAAAACCAGTCACTGGTCTCTGGGTGACAGCAACATCCACAATCCACGGCAACTATTTAAAGAAGTGAATAACTAACATCCTTGAGGGAATATTTTCAAGTTAATATTCTTAGATGAATATTTTAAGTGATAGATATTTTCAGTGACGGAATCTAAAAGGATTAATTAATTTAATAAATGTAATTCAATAGCTGTAGCAGCATGGATTCACTTTACCAAAACAAAACATCAACATCAGGTTAGATATATTTGTCATGTCAAAATTCCCGAAGTTATTTCCCAGCATGATAGGAAATGAACATGCGCAGAATATAATAGCTGTCCAATAATTGTAGGACCTATTATATTCCACCAAAAAAAGTTAGATAAAAATTGAACCAAAAAACTTAATGATAACGACGTGGAATTTAAGTTTGACTATATAAAAAAATGACCTTCTGTTCTTTGCAAGTAAATCAAGGAAATTTTATAGTTAAATTATTTCGGAACTCAAAAATAAGTCTCTAAAGAAATATTAAACTGCAAGGATAGATTTTATTGTATAATAAAAGATAATACGTATAAAATAATGTACTTACTGGAACTTGCAACACGCCAAAAAAAAATATCCTTATTATGTGGAACTCTTACATTAGAAAATCTTGATTTTTAAAATTTACTTCTTATTATTAGTATTACTGAGATATTATTAACGAATTAGATATTATTTTATTCGTCCCAGATTATTTTTCTGTTCCAATTCCGTCACTTTAAATTAGCTGACGTGCTGCGTGAGTTTCTTGACCAAACTGCCGGTTGGCTTCGGCACAAACTCCTTCCAGCCTTCCAAAAAGCGAACCTGCGCGTATAGGTGGTTTGAATCGACCGCTGGCGGGTCATAAGAAATTTCGTGAGGGGTTTCTATTAATACAATTTTAAATTGTATTATTGGTAATTAGTAGCGTAAACGCTACAAAAGCCACAGTTAACATACTTCTTTCAGCAGCGCGAAAAAGCTGCACATATGTTGTATTGAACCAGATTCTGAGGTTTTTTAACCAAGATGTTCTTCTTCTTTCTGGACCTCGTTTTCCAAATATTTTTCATTGCAGGATGGCTTGAAGAAGATCATATCTGAATTTATTTCGCATAATATATCCGAAGAATTGTAACTTTCGATATTTGATAGTGGTTCACGGTCATATCACACACATCATAACACTTATCTTCCTTCAAGGTCCACGATTCAACACCATAAAAAAGGACAGAGAAGACATAGCATCGCAGCATTCATACTTTTGTATCAAGAGACAGGTTGTAACTCTTGAAGAAGGCTCCATCCGATTGAAGGTGGATATAGTTTTTCCGATGCGTGCTCTAATCTCCTGGGAGCAGCTTTTGAACTGTATAGCAGGACTTTCGCGTGTGAATCATTTGTTTACGTTAAAGCGAATAATAGAGAGGAAAATAATCACGCAAATATGCCTCCATTTATTTTTCATAGACCTGCAGATAGACGAAAATCATGTTCAAATTATGAAAAGCAATGCAGAAAACGCATAAGCAATCGATTAGTTATGCAATTAAGAAAATATATAAGAATACAATAATCGAAATAAAAAATTGGAACCAGACAACAAAATAAGTGTATCATTCAGGAATGTTCTCTTTCACATACCTTATTTAATATGGAAATAAATTTTATATCGAAATAACCTATACATACCTTTCCAGCTTCAGCATCATCGATGAACTGTTGGTGTCTCTCTGTACCCATATTTATAATTGAGCTAACAAACAAACTGTTACCGACCGTGTGTTTTACATAGGCCGATGCTATCGATGAGGTTAACACCCTAGAAAGGGATGATGGTCGTCGTAAGTTTTGCAGCACATAAGGCCAGGACAGAATATGGTTTTGGCCTTGATCACACGATCCGAAAAACGCTAATCTGCGCTGCTCGTCTCTGGGTAGGCTGGTGAGGTTTTCCTTATTGTGCACAGGATTACTTTCCAGCATTTTGTACATTTCATTCTGAAAAGAAGAACCAAATCGGCAATTGGAAAATCTATAAAAAATGTTGGTTTTGTAAAATGATTTAAACATAGTATAGACGTTTTCATCGTTCTTGGCGTGTGCGTGTAAAAACACTTGCAATAAGTTCTTTCATCTGTCTTTCCTTGTCTAAGCTGGATTCGTTTACCTCCTCCAGTGGCAGCTATCGGTATTCGTAAAGAGGCCGAACTAATCACCGACACCGCATCGGCCAAACGTATCGGTGTTATTGCTACAATATTGGGAGACGTGAGTGGTCTCTTCATTCCCTTCTCATCGCACTTTACCATGACAAACGTGACTCGCACAATTGAATTACGCATCTGTGTATCAGAGAGAGACGAATATTAAAAATTTCGTAGTAGCTTATTTCAGACACACGCCAAGAACGATGAAACCGAATTTACAACAATTTATTGTGCCAAAGACAGGCATAGTCAAAACTTTTGTGTTTAGCCACCGATTGTCACGGTAGTAGAGACATTTCGCAAAAGATCCACTGTTTTCTCGACTACATCTCTACCATTAAAAAAAAGCTATTTTCACATAGTTTTAGTCGGTGTTTTATAATTTTATAGGAAGTAATTATACAATTGTATACTGTTGTTTGTCTGGCAGGGTCAGTGTCACGAGAAAAATCTTATTTGCATGGACTACAATGGTTTTTGATATAGTTGATCATTAACCATTTTCGAAGAGCTTATAAATTTTTAAAAAGTTATTTACGATGAAGAGTCCCTTGTACTACAAGGTACTGTACTTAGCCCAATACTTTTTCTATAATATAAGTATATCAATGATTTACTTGCAATAAATACTCAAAGATAAATATTAAGTGTTTTGCAGATGACACAGTTGTGTTTTGTAGGTGTTTGTTATACTTCGCAAATATTAAAGAACACAAAGTGTTGCACAAGTTTCCAGAAATATAAAGCCATCCCTCATAAAATTGGCAGGTTTGAATATTTACTTGATCAATAAAAGAATATATGACAAAATGCAAGCAAGATATGAAGATAACTTAGATTTCGTTAATGAAGATACCCAAGATAACGGATTCAGTGCTCGACGAAAATCATTAATTATTTATTTCTAGAATAAATTGCGGATTACAACTCTCATTAGAAAAAGTAACTCAAGTGATATAGAAAACTTTTCATAACAAGAGAATTTTTAATTAATACAGTAATGTTACGATATATAATAATGAACTCATCAAAAATTGTTACGATTACACAGTTTTGATAAGATGTTTAAAAGTTTTGCTGTATACTTAGTACATTTCAATGAATACAAGAACTACACCGACTTTAATATGAACCAAAATGCATGAATGTACAATCAAATGATATAGACCTTATTTTAAGAATTATTTGACAATTTTTGATACAATCTTTGACACAGCCCATACTATATAAGAGTATAAGTGGTATAACAAAAATTATAACAAAAATAGGCAGTGTATGATATAAGACACAGTTATGGGAGTGGGCTACTAATTTCACACTGTGATGCAAGCTTTAACGATTTTTGGTATATGTACCACTTTGGTATTTCATCTACTCAACAGACCTAATTTTCTACCGATTTTCATTCTTCGCTACATTTTATTCCAAATGTACCTAATTTGGTACACTTTTCCTCTCAAATTATAAAAGACTTGCCCTTGGAGCCACTTGAATTGCTTTACCACCAAATGTTTTAGTCCTAGACATGGTCGCTTGAGGCTCGCATGAACTCGTTTCACCTCTTTTTACACTTACTTTTTACCATAGGAGATATCATGCTAAAGAAGTGTGTGCTGTGATCCTTGACTAATATCCGCAATAGTAAAAGACGAACCCTTCTCTCCAGACACTCCAGGACCCCTTCCACCTGACACAAACTTTTTTACTTCTATCTTCATTGTGTATCATATGAAAGTATTGGGAAATGACACCTTCACTTGAATCTATATAATAAATTGGTAAAGCTAAAAATACCAGAGCTTTCAAAAACATTTGTCTGCCAGTCTGCTGCAAGAATAAATTTAAATGTTGGGTCACAAAAGACGTATTTAGTTAATGGTTGCAAAAAAAAAAAAAAAATTAGGCCACCCAAATGAACAAGTACTTAGATAAAGTAATAGGAATTTCCAAACTATCTTTCTACCGCCAAATTGCACACCATTATTGCAACTGATGGATCCAAATGTTACCCAAAAAGTAAGTAAGTGTATGAAAATAAATTATTCATCCATATTATTTCAGAAACTAGGGCCTCAAAAAATTTATATTGAAGGATGTTGTTTTCTCTCTCTCTAAGTATGGAGCTCTATTCCATCTGAGTTAATCCAATAAACATGGACAAAACTTTGGCCTACAATGAATGCTGTATAACAAGAAACAGAAAAATGGGATACTGAAGATAATTGATCTATTGTCTATTGATTTTAAAATTTATTAGAAAGAGGTTTCGAGACAAGTAAAGAATATTTAAATTTATGGTTTGAAAGGACTGAAGAAATTATGCAAAAGCAAATTATGACAGATGAAGAAATATGTACAGCAGTACAAGAAGATAAACAAAGCCTAGTAGACATTGGAGACACCAACCAAGTGTTACAAGTACAAAAGTGATACCATATAAAGCATTTTATTGTTTCAATACATGCATAACATGGGTCGAAGAAAAGTTACAAGTTACAAGTGGTTACAAGTTGAACAAAAACAAACCAAGTAGTACATTCCGATGGAAGATTGTATCCTTATCTAAAATTTGTTCTCAAAAATTATCTGTATCTAATTATAAAATCATTTAAAAATAATAATATTAGCTAATTTTACTGCTAAATAAATCTATTTTGAATTTAGATTAAACAGAACGAAAAAAGGAAGCTTGTAGTATGACTTAACCAGTTTATATATAAAATAGTTTCAATTGGTGACCAAAATTATTGGTCAACAATGCGCAGACTTCATTACGACTGTCGTTTTAGGTTTTTATAACAATAAAAAGGACAGGAAATCAATTTAACATTTCAACCACATTTAAAATTATCGCTATGAGAAATATTTACATGCAATCTTTTCCTATTGATAAAGCATGGATAAAATAGGAATGTTCCCAACATATTTTTCTTTTAACACTTATTTAAGAAATTCATGTAAAGTGTACCTCTGTTAAGATGTGGACATGGTCTTATGAGACATATCATTGCATCCTTTCTTACATGTTCAACAGTGTTCTGGGAAATTTACTGCATATATAAATATGACTTCCATGATGATTATCATCTAAACAATTATTGAAGGCATCTACTGAGTCAATGTACAATTGATTTTTGATACAATTGCAGTAGACTTTTGTAATTCATAACGAACTTTGGAACTTAATATCTCAAAACTGAACAAACACATTTTTTGGTCTGCCTCTTCAATTATATCTATATATAATGTAGTTGATTTGTTTATTTTTACAGATATGTCAAAAAAGGAAAAATATCTAATAAAAAACAAAAATTGCACAGATATGAAACCTTGCTTCTGATATTAAGTGCAATAGGTGCAAAAAAATATGATAAGAACATTAGGTGAAACTGTTTTAAAGTGACTTCTCAAATAAAAATAGTAAAAGTCACGAATTTTATAGACAAATAAATTATGAAAACTGTGAGATGACAAACAAACAGCTGTGATAGCACCCAATAAAAAACAATTAACAATTCAACCAAATTACAAAAAGTGAGGTATTATATTTGGTAAAAGTTGTCATTGGAGAGATATAATTGTTGGAAACTTTTGTGATGTTGCTGCATTATGTAAAAATGATAAAAATTAAGAACAGAGATTAAATATGTGAACAAACAAACCTACCAATGTGCCAATATCAGAACTTGGTCAGGCATGAACATTCAACAATTACTAAGAGATTCACAGAATAGATAACATTTTCCTCCAGTAATGGAATGCATCAGAAGAAGAAAAATACCCGTAAGATATATCTGAAGAAAAAAATCTGTCAAATATCAACAAATAAATGCAAATATAATTTTAACACTGTTTGAAAACATAAATCAACCTAAACAGATACTATTCCTTAAAATAGTGAACTCAACAAGTTATTTGTGTCCTTGTTTAACAATCAACTCTACCCATCAAGTCCATGCATAGAACATCCAAAATATTCCAACCAATGACAAGAATTGTTGTTCAAATAAGTATTCTATAATAGATGAAGATTCCAGATTATTCAAAAGACTATGAGAAGCTTGTGCCAACATCTTTAACACTTTCACTGGTGAACTTTCATTTCAGAACATTCTCCTGTGCAGAATAAACTTTGAAATATGCAAATAATGCCAAATGGTGCTGTCCAGACAGACTGAGAAATAAGAAAGATGCCATAAGGGGGCTGCCACAGCAAAAGTGTTAATAAGGAAACTCAAGAGTTTAGTTTATAACAGCTGTTTAACTTGATCTATATATACCATGACTAATTTTGTGATATCTGTTACTTTTTTTAGCTCCCTTTATATTTTAGTATGTTACAGTGGGTGATCAAATTATTAGAGCCATCTATCAAAATTTATTTTTTAACAAAAAGGGTATATAATTGAGTTGTATAGTATATTAATGTGTTTATTTCCATTTTATTATCTTGTAACACTTTAAAAAAGTACAATAAATAGTGTCCAGTGAACATTGCATGTTTGTTACACCAGTGGTACCAAAACATCATCAAGTTTGTAATTAAAAACATCTCACCAAGGGAAATAGTGGAAATAAAAACTTAATTATTGAACAATAATCACTCCCAACATAAAAATAGCATCAATTTAAAGTTTTAAGGGCAACTGTAGACTGTATAAAAAAATTTGACGAAAATTTGGATTTGACTGCAAAAACTAAAATGTAGTTGAAAAAAAAATTCGAGAGATTGCCTTAGCACACAGAAAACCCTGAGGGGGTTGAACGAAAATGATGCATGGTTCTGGCATTAGTATTTTACCAATGACAGCTTATCGGAGAATAAAGGATCTGGGGTTTTCAACCTGTCGCCCTGCAAAAAAGCTGCTACTCACACCAGCCATAAAGAAAAAAGGCTTCAGTGGGCTAAAGATCACAAAGATTTGACCATTATGATTGGAATTAGGTAAATAACATTGCTTAATATTGTTTTTCTTTTATGTAGTTTACAGTTGATCAATTTGTCCATGATTCTATAATAATAATAATATTCCAAGTTTATTTTTAGAGCTGAATTTGTAAGGGGAAGACCTGGGGAAAAAGATAAAGCTGATTGTATTGTAAGGATAGTAAAGTACCCCCTAAACATCATGGTGTGGTATCATACGCAGTCAAGGAACTGGTAGACTCTACATTGTGGAAGGAACAATGCAGCAAGACCAGTACTTAAGAGTATTGCCAGTAAAAGTGCTTTTCCAGACCTAGGAATGGTTTCTGAATAAGAGTTTCACATTTACGCATGACACAGCGTCTTGTCACAAGGCCAAAACTGTTACAAAATTCCTTCTTGACAACCAGACAACTGACCTGGTACCCCGCCAGATCTAAATCAAATAGAAAATCTTTGGAAGCTCATAATAAGGAATTTCTAATAAAATATAACTACAAAGCATCAATTAATTGAGCGCTTATTAGCAGAATGGCACAGGAGTGGAACAATTCCACAAAATTGCCAGATATGCATAGAAAGTATGCCAAGAAGATGCAAGACAGTAATTCCTGCAAAGGATGACACTACCAAGTATTAGGGTTAAGACATAATTTTCACACAAACACATAAGTGTTTTCATGTAATTAGGTACTGGTTTCTTTTTTAATATTTGTAAACTTTATAAGATTCTAAATCACAGTAAAAAATATGTTTTATAGCTCAATTACATACTATTTTTAAACAAAAAGTAAAATTTTATGGGGTGGCTCTAATAATTTGATCACCCACTGTATCTCTGATTACTTACATTACTGAATACTTCATCAAGATGTTTGACACTTATGTATGAAATATTATGTTCATTTATATAATTTAAGTCAATAAATGGAATATTATCATCATATGTATTGTGTTCCAAATAAAAAAATAGAATAAAATCCTGATAATACTAAATTTTTCTTATGTTTTCTACATAATTTGTTCTTTTTGTGTCAGGCAATGTGAAATCTGTCAACAAAACACAACTAAAAGGCATACATTTTATGTTATTGACAAATTCCGTCCAGCTGAGCTGACCTCAAAGAACAGAAGTAAAAAATACAGTTTATCTGGCTTTTGTTATAATTAAGTTATACTATGTTTGATTAGATTACTCTTTTATCTACCTATGTAATGTTGACTTTAAAGATATTTATGTATGTACAAAATGTACTTCTTACCTGATAATTAATTCCATCTTCAGTTTCAATGAATAACTTCAATTTTTTCCAGTCAAAAGACGTTTTCTTACGATAGACATCAAGCGGTCCTGGTTTAAAATCTTCTATGAGATGAGACATGGTGCTAAAAAATCTGCCGCGGAGCCACAGGGTGACAATCGAAACTAACTATTTATGTAATTAAATAAAAAGATAACACCATTAATTATAAACAATATATCTCTGATAATGGATAGTTAAAAGGTTGAATACTTGTTTTAATTCTAATCTTATAAGATAAACTGTACGAACTTTGGTCCCATAAAAACTGATGAGTAGGGATCAAAAGTTGTGAAACGTACTGCATTAATCAAAACCACTGACCGTTAACCTTTGAAACAAAAAATTAATACATATAACTTTCCCCATTATAATTGAACGTTTAGTTAAAGAAAAGAGGTTATTCGTGAATTCGTGCAGTGTTGACGTTCTTCTTTTAATCAATTTCGACAGGTGAAGTGTATTTTGAGTCGATTATGCAACACTATTTACTTTGAAATTTTCCGTTCTATTTTAAAACTAATACGCGCGAATGAGTTGGAAAATTAAATAGATTGAATAAATTAAATTGATTAGTTATGTTGCCAATCATAACGTTATTTGCCAGCAATATATAATTAATAAAAAAATAGAGCAATTTTACCATAATTATGTGAAACGTGACAAACAGAAACCTGGAGACTTTGGAAGAAACGGAAGAATGTGGAAACGTTAGGCATAAATGTATATTTTCTTGAATTTCTAAATATTTTTATAAAAGTAATCAATATAATGCTGTAAATAAAAAATTGTTCCGAAATATTTCGAATTACACATGTTTGTTTTTTGGACGAAAGATATATTTTCATATGTTCCGGTTTATTTTATTCGTGGGTTTTTATATATCTACAGAAAAAAGATTAATGAGCATAAAACTCCCATTATGATAATTATGAATTGATTAACTTAGCGGTTAATTAATTTTTTTAGCAAAAATGACTTTTTAATACGTTTAAGTTGCCTAATTAATTACTTTACTTGTTATTTTATAATTTATAATTACATAAATTTCAAACAAATATAAACGAGACAATGTCAAACAACTGACGAGAGTATTGGCAAGGGGGATAGGTGGTAAGGGGGAATGAATAATCATTTTGGTTTATTTATACTGCTACATAGCTTTAAGAATTATATTGTTAACGTAAATAAAACTTCAAACCTTAGTACTTCAAACTCTATTTACGAAAAATTTTTAAAGAGAACAAAAAAAAATGAAAACGGTTTTTTAGACTTCTGCTGGTGGCCATATTTACCCGCTGCCGAGGGGTAAAAGTGACCACTGCCACTATTACTCCCATTTAAAAATAATTAAATGCAGAAATCGCAAATGTAAATTTTGCCTTCGAAACTGGTACAGTCTTTGTGTGCCCATTGGCCGCAAACGCTGCATTGGATCCAGAGTTCTCTGTTTTTATCGAATTCGCCACAAATTGTGCAAATATCTTCGTTAACGTAACTATCACGGTCATCGTCATCATCCTCATCTTCAGATAAGGTAAAGTGAAAGAAGAAAATTTAATATAAAAAAAGTAAAACTCTCTGAATCAAATTTAAGCCGTCAATCCGTAATTTGGGGTTTTAACTTATTGCAAGATACATTTAATTTCAAAAATATAAAATTTTTGTCTTTGACAGAGACAAAACATAAAAAAGTATCTTTGACCGGTATTGTCACCATACATGGACAATACCGGTCATGAGTGTGGGTAATGCCAGTCAATTTGTTTGTGTTATTATTAAAATAAAAATCAATATCTATTTAACATTTTTTTGTTATAAAACGATTAACGAATGTGGCTTAATGGGTCATAATTCAAGTAAATCAGTAAGAAAGGTGAAAAAATATTTTTTATTACAAAACAAACAAAAAATAACAAAAATATGTGTTTTAATGTAAAAATAGTTGACAGTCATCGCAGGTATAACTCTCTGCAGAATCCCATCCACTGCACTCTGAATAAGCCCATCGTGAGCAAACGGTAAATATATACCACAATTCATTGTTTTTGCCAAACTCGCTGTAAACCAGGCATCTATCTTCGTATGCATCGTCACTGTTATCACATGATATATCAATATCCGATTCCAAAGAACTAGAATCAAACACCTTTTTCTTGTAATGCCAATTACAAGAAAAAGGTGTTTTATTACAAGAAAAATTATCTTGTAAACCCAAATGCTAATTTTCTCAGTTCTATTGCTGTTACGCCATAAAAAATTAAGCTAAATATTTTTTTTGTGTGGCTATTTTAGCTTCTTGTTCGGCAGAAAATACTGATTTTCTACCTAATGAGACACCTTGAAGATTTTTATTTTTTATTCTTTCTTGCAATGTCGAAAAATGGATGGATTAATCCCTAAGGATTAATAGTATAGGGTATAAATTATAGCATGGGGGTAATACCGGTCAACTGACCGGCATTGCCTCCTGTTGGCATTTTTTTTCTTAGAATTTTTTACTCGTAAACATGTATTAAAATATTGATCTTTAAAAAAGGAATAGGCAGCTAACGTCATTATAATCAATTGTAACCAATTTTAAGATCTACAAGTGAATAAAAATGAATTAAGACCTTATATTACTCAGCATAAAAATAAGATCGAAAACACTGAAAACAGGTTAATAATATTTCTATGACAATGGTTTGCGCCAACTCAACGCTCGTCAGCAATCTGAATACAGAGTAGTGTAGCGACACGTTGGCAGTTATAGGAGGTTGCCAGATTGAATAGATTTCGCACAATCGGGATGACCGCCATTACCCACTGACCGGTATTTGCACAGTTTACCCTAATATATCTTCTGTGTTCTTATACAATTTCTTTTTGGAACTATTCGCAGAGGACTGGACTCTTCGATGCCTATTTTTCGTTTGGTTCCTTTGCTGGCTTTATTTCTCACTTGCTCTTCCTTCTTCAGCTGTTTTTCTTCTAGAAGTAACTTCATTGGTGTGATGTCGTTATTTGGGAATGTTGCTTACTTTATAGTCGGATCTCTTATTTCAATCTGAGTCATCTTTTGAGCATCCTGGTAGTAGAATTATGTCAACAAAAGATACTTTAAACTTTTGGTCACGTGTCGAACTTTCTTTATTCCCTTAACTTCCTTATTCTTCTCCTTATCTCATCCACTTTTTTCTCTTGGTCTAGTGTCTTTTTATCTTTTTCTTGAATGAATGATTCACCTGGACCAAAGTCTTCATCGGTAAAATTTTCAGGATTATATGGAAATATTCCTGTATTCCCAAAACTTTTAATGGCTTTGACTGGTGTGGCTACGCGACCGTATGAATTTTTAAATATTTTAGTTATTTCAAATATCGTGGTACGCTCATGAGGATGACGTCGAAGATAATTGCCAGATTCAAATTTATACGTTGATTTTAACGATGAGTAAATAGCTGCATCCAGCGGTTGAGGTGGATGCGATATGTGCGGGGATATGGTTAACATAATAATTCCTTGTTCTTTACAGACATTATATGTCTCTAATGTACAGTGGCTACTGTGATTGTCGATGATTAACAAAACTGGATTCTCCTTTGAAGGTTTTACAACACTGTAAAAATGCTGAAGCCATTTGAGAAATATTTGCTCATTGGCCCATTTTTCTTTAACTCTGGTTTCATCCTTGTGCGGGCATAAATAAACAAAGGTGGAATATATGTTCCTGAGGCACTTATGCAGCACATAATGGTTGTTGTTTGACCTTTTTCTGCGCTTGTAATAAATCCGACTTTCTTTTGTTCCTTTTCAGCAAGTATTTTTCCAGGGTTTTGGTCGGTTGTTACGCCTGTCTCGCCTGCATTATATATTTTGGATGCCGAAAATTTATATTTATCCAATATGGATTTTAAATTAGAGAAAAATAGGTTTACTTCAATTTTGTTAAAAGCAGATATGCGGTTAATACTTGTCGTCTCCGGTTTTTTTAATCGAATAGTTGGATTTCTTTTAAGAAAGCTGTCAAGTCAGTCTCTTATAGCAATTTCTTTTTCTTTGAAAAATGGATGATGTAAATGTTTTTCTTCAGCGTATTTATAGGCATATTTTCTTTATTTCTGTGGGAGTTATCCCATAAAAATGTTTTGGTAACTTTATGATTTGCTTTGTCAAAACTTCTTCTTTGGTAAATAGTTTCTAGTTTGGTAAGTTGCTTAGCATTCCATCGTGCTTTGTCACTTTTTGTCTTGTAAACTAGAAACATATGCAATATAAGAATTTATAAAGAAATACTCTGTATTATATAAATACAATTTGGGGGTAATAGTGGACATCCAGCATTACATCCAAGCGCCTGGCTATTATAATCCAAAAATACATATTTATACTGATCGACTCCAAACTCTGAACGTAAATTATCCCGAAATAACTAATAACTATAAGACTACCAACTTAGAATGATGAACAGGAAAGCAACAGACGAGCTCGCTGCTCGTTCTACATAATTCTCATATGCAGCTTAAAAGGCTGGTTATATGTGTGTTGGTTTAAATTAAATTTTGTTAACTATTCTATTACTCAGCTAGTACGCTATTACTAGGGAAACCTAGGGAAGCAATGCCTTGCTTCCATATACCGCACGCTCCTGGGACTTGTCGCTTTCTGTAAAGTCACAAGCTTACTAAAGGATTAGATGTTCGGAACATCAGGAGGGCTCAGATTTGGAGTTCCTGTTGATTGGAGCAGATATTGGTGCCTGAAGCAGCCTGAGTTCCAGAAACGCTGAAGACTAGGTCCTTATGGGTCTAGTGAAGAATAACCAAGGTCTCCTAATTTCTTGTTGCTTCGTATAGAGGTCGCTGCTAGCGTACTCAAGCGTGTTATTTTTGACATTCTCAGTAAAATTCAGCTATGTTCGCATGATTTTTAAAGATGAAATCTCTGATAAGTGGACTAATAATGGAATGATTAATCAACGTCATATTAAAACTCACCCAGTAGGGGAGAATAAGTCTCCTGAATTCTTAGATAGCAAATTACGTGAACTGCGAATCTAAGCTTTATTGCACGATGTTTTAAATAACTTTTTATTCTGACAATACATCGACAGTTTTCCCTTAAAACACTATGTTTTGTACACTTTGCCTGTAGAAAACAAGTTACAATGAAAACAGACGATTACATTTTTTTGTAGTTCAAGTTCCACCATTCTTCTACACGTGTTTTGAGGTTTTACCTCTCGCCAGGGACACTTGCGAGATTTATAATTGAACTAAAGTGTGTTGATCTGTAATACCGTTATAGTACGCTATTAGTGACATCTATATGAATATATAGCTTCTAAGTGACTCTTCTGAATATTTCTAGATTCAGTCGTTTTATCGTTGATTTCAGTCAACGCTATCACAGTAATACCAAATACTGAATGC